TAATAAACTCGGTTAACGTTTGTCGGGGGCCCCGTCGCGTCGTTTTTAAGTCCGTCTCGAGCGCAGTCCGGATATCGATATTGTCGAACTCCTCGAGTAATTCGGACCTAAATTCCGTCCATGGCATATTGTTTAATTTAATCGCTCGCCACCAATCACCTGCCCTGTCGTTCAAAAACGGGACGACGATGTTTACCCACGCGGTTGGGTGTATACCGCCCTGACAGAGTAGATCCTCCGCTCTATCTAGAAACTCCCGTGGGTCCTCTTCGTTTCTCCCGTAATACTCAGGTAAGCAGGCGCGTACGTTGCGTAGGTCGTGGTAGGGTACCNTAGGTCTTGGTAGGGTACCACCAATACCGACCGCGAGCTACGGGTAGGCAACAAATCATTAAAGGACCGACGACCGTCGGTTGTGTTGAATTGCCCCTCCCGCGGTTGGCGCGTAAACTAAAAATCGGTCGGCTCGTTCTCATATGTATGAGTGCGCTGATAATGTTCGTCCTGCTAACCCCTGCTACACATCCGTGGTAGCGACGCTTGTACGTACGACCGTCTCATGTTGCGGGCTTGTTGTGCTTCGATGTCCGCGAGGCGCTCGTTTAGTGTTGCGTCGGGTCCGTCGCTCCCGATGGACCGAATGTAACGCGATGCGCTTCCGATCGTCGACTATCATTTCGGTCAACGTTAACTTGTCGAATAGTCGGTTGTACAGCAACATGTGGGGACGGCGGCATATTTTGACTGATTCGCTCAAGCATGTTGGAATTCTGTCGCCGTTCCATTGACATACACGACAGCGACCTTTCTAGTTCAGTCGTCCGTGCCTCGATCCGCGCGTTATTCGAAATATAGCGAATATTCTGTTGGATCGCCCCGACTTGTTCTGCCGCGTACGCTATCGAGCGAGCAACGTATACGTTTCATTTCCCCCGGTTGGTCGACATCAGATTCGTCTTCTGATGTGTGTAGCGCGAGGTTCACCGGATGTTTCTCCGGTAAAGGCGCTACGACGGGCCGCTGATTGCTCGCGTCGATTTCTTCTTCGCTGACACCGTCCGTGGTGTAGTCGAAAACCCCCACTTCGGGTTCGCGGACCGGAATTTCGCTATCGATCTGCGTACGGAGTAGTAAAATTTCGGTAGCTGAGTTCCTACTCTTCGCTAAGTAGGTTGTCTTCTAGCACAATTGGCATGTTGGGTTTCGTCGCGTAGCGTGGCAGTTGTCCGAAAGCGCATAATAATCAAAAGTAGCTACGTTAATAGCGGAGATGAACAATATTTCCGTGTACGGTCGAATTTGCTACTGCTGCAGAAAACAAGTGTTATTATTATTGCTATTATTGATGTCGTAAAGTACCCGCGATAAGATGGTACGGGGCCGCCGTTTATGATATGGCACCGAGTGAACAATAATAATAACGGTTACCTGGGAATCGACCGCTTTGACAAGGTCAGACGTAAATATACTATTTTTATCTACCAATTAGACTGTAACAATCGGCCGGAAATTAACTTTCTGTCGATATCAATGAGGTCTTTATAACAAACTGTAACCAACACTTTTCAACGACAATAGTTACAGCGGACTGTATTAGATAAACTACTCTAACTTTATTTTTATAAAAAAATTTCCAGAGACCAAGTCAAATCTAATCCCGCTAACACGTAACTGTGAATAACCCAGGTAAAAATTCACTGCTGTCATCAGTGAAATTCGTTCAAATGACTATATGAACAATAAAAATTTGTAAGGGAGACTTCACCGTTCCAAGTTAAAACTAAAATCTAATATACAGTAGAACCTCATTAATCCGGACAGCTGTCTAGTATTACGCAGTTTATGCCGTAGACTAAAATAAACATAAAAGCAAGTTCCTCGAATTTCCCATAAGTACATATATTCTTATCTACCGTCATTAAAGTTATCATAAACTAATATCGTGTTGCAATACTTATATATTGTATATCAGACATAGTAATTGGTATAATATAATATTCTTAAATCTATAATACGAACATGTTTTTTGGTTATTTTGTTTAATCCGGACTTTCATTAAATCAGACAACCTAGAGCCCTTATTGGTTCGGATTAATGAAATTCTACTGTAATTAGAAATAAAACTGAATCGGCTCAAAGCCTCTTACCTTAACTTCTCTCGTCCGGTTTAGATTTCGTACTAGGTCTAGTTTTCTTAAATAATACATTCATTTCAGGATTTGATTCTAAATCACGTGTCAACTTTCTTTTTCTCGCAACTGCTTCATTATTTTTAGTATCGCCAAACAATAAATCCTATAAGTTATACACGTATTAAATCTATGATTATTGAAATAATAAATTGTTTTATAATAATTACAGTCTTGCGAGGAGTATCTGAAGAATATTTTGTAGTTTTTCTTTTAACAATAATTGATGACTGGCTAATAATATGTCCTTCTGTTAATGTACTGAATCCAAGTAGAAGTGAATCTGAAGACTAGAAATAAAATAAAATTAGGAAAAAAACTGTTAACCTTTTTAAAAGGTAAAATAATTACCGATCCTGTTGGGGATACAGCAATGTCTAAGAATTCATCATCTGAATCATCTGTACATGATGTATTGCTCTCAGATAATGTTGACACTGATCTGGAATCATCTGAATGAGCAGTAAGAGAACCACTGTCCTGAGAATTAGGATCACGATCTTCAAGTGGATATGATCGTCTTACACGGCGTTTGTATTTTGCAAACTAAAAACCATAAATTACAATATTTATTTTCATTAATATTGAATTTCTAGAAAATTATTAAATTTAATAGTAAATTTGATATCTAACATTGATCGTTCTTTTTAACTATAGCTATTTAACAATACATAATTAACAGTTTAGAGATGAATAAAAAATTTAATTAAATTTACTGTAATAAATAAACAGACTAAAGTTAATGATTTAATTTATGCTGGGATTAATTAATGTTAATATATTATTAATACAAACTTCACAGTTTAAGAATGCACAACAGTATGGAATCTTGCTTGACATAATTATTGTACAAATAATATACAATGTATAACTAATACAAATTTGTATAATTATATTATTTAAAATATCTTTTTAAGTTTTGTGTTTACATAAAATAATATATTTTTAAGGATTTAAAAAATTATTTTATGATTTAGTTTAAATAAATATTTGTTTATTTAAGGTATTAATAATAAAAATATCTATACAATTTAATTGTTATTGATATATTAGCCAAGGTAAAAATTAAAATAGTTACATGCGTTTATTGTATATCTTACTTTAGACATCACTACAACCATACATTTTGATGAATTTTCTTTTTCGATTAGACTGTTCATAATTTTTATAACACATTTCAATGGGCTATCGTTTATAGTTTTTGAGTTTCCCTTGATTAATCTATAAATAAAAAATAATTTGTCTCTCTCTAACTCCCTCTACATCCTATTTTCGTAAACCCCTCAAAATATGAGTCACCTGGAAGAATTTTCCGTTTTCTGCGCTTTAAATTTCGCGTTCTTCGACTGCAGTCTCGAAACTGGTACTGTTCAACAGAAATTATTTTTTCACATCTTTTGCGACCTCGATGAGAATTTTTCGGCACCCTAATTTTTTTTTAATTTTTAATATTGTAAATATTCATTAAGTAATATATTGAAATAGAATATAAACACATATAATGATCAGTATTAAATTTTAATTTGAAAACAACAATAATTTATGAATAATTAACCCAACCCGTATTACTGTAGTATTAATGTTAGTACGATTTAGTTAGTTAATTAGTAAGTGTACAACTAATAGTCTGGGTAAGCAATTTTCAATAATGTTTGATCTGATGTTGTATAAAGTGTCACATAAATATAAAATTGTGAATGATTATTATAACATTATTCATTTAATAATGACTGTAAATTCTAGAACTTAAATTATATTATTGTAATTATTCGTAAAAGTTAAGTGTACAGTCCACTCCAACACGTCACCGTGTCTCATCCTAAGTAGGAACCCAATACAAATATAGGTTATAATGTTACAAAGATTTTAATATTTGTATTAAAAAAGCCCTTGAAAATGGCTTTGAAATGAATATTAAGATTATTTTTTACTTCTCTTTCTTGTAAAAATTTATTCACTTTATTAATATTGTAGTAAATTACAAAAAAAATAAGCTTGTTTTACCATTTTAACAATCAACGTTTTTTTTTAATTATTTTAAATATATAAGGATTTAAAAGTTATTTAATTGTCTTACCTTTTTTAATTTCAATTGTTGGATTTAAGTTTGAGTTAGCAATACAAATATGAATTAAATCGAGCGATCTTGGTAAATTTTTTAATGACAAAGTGTTAAACATATGACTTAATTTGATTATTCCTGATGTTGGATCTATTATTCCCTATTAATAAAAATGTACTATTTGGATTATGCATAATTTAAATCATTTTGTTTAAAATATATGTTAAAAAATTTTTTTTCACACACCCCGGCCAGGACAGCAGTTTTTTTAAATAATGTTAAAGGTTATTTTAATGGTGATCATTTACTCAACAGGTTATTCGTATCTAATCAAATCAGAAGATTGTTTTAAATTTGTTTTTGTTAAATGTTTTAGCTTCGATGCGAAGCTGAGAAGGTATTTTAATTTATTATTATTAGGTATATTTGTTTTTTTAATATTTTGCCTCTTACTCAGAGGCGAATGTGCTTTAAGATTACTGATAATTTTGTTTTAGAGTATATTTTTGAAGTTGAGCCCTAAATACGTCTGTTACCACTTATTAAAAAAATTGCAATTACACACTTTTAGATGGATGACTTACTTCGATTATTTCTATTTATGAAAATATAATTCCCTGTTAAAAAAAGGTACTGTTTAGATTATGCATAGTTTATTCATGAAAATCAAATAGTGATTTATCTCACTATCGTAAATTTTGGA